TTCTACGGTCTTCCTTATTCATTGTCCAGCTTTCCCAAACAGATGAGGCCACTGAAATACCATGGCTTGGATCTTAGTCCTCAAAGTGGCATCTTTGCTTTTTAGCACTTTAAATAAAACCCTTTAAACACTTTACATGGAAAAATGATTGAAGCTGCCAAAGATTTCATTTTATATTTGGGTCCACAATGCCCACGGAACCAGCAGTCAAGAAATCAAAGAATACAGTGCACTAGGCAAAACTGCTGCACAGAACTTCTATAAAGTGTTCAAAAACAAAGAAGTCACTTTACGGGCGAAATGGAATGTTGCTAAGTGCCGTCAAGCAGGTTCTGACTCATGGTAACTCATGGAGTAAGCTGGTGGGTTTGAATTGCTGACCTTGAGACAAGCAGTCCAGTGCCGATCTTACAGCACCACACCAGGACTCCACAGTGAATGGTAGCACTTAAAAAAAAACTCCCCAGTTTGTTAGTGATCAAGAATATTGAAACTGAAATCCAACTGAAGAATGGTTTAAGTGCAAAAAAAAAAAAAAACAAAACAAAAAACAAAACAACTTCCGGAAATACTTTGTCAAACTATTTCCAAAGTCAAGAATGTGCAAAGGCCGCAGATTTACAGCCAGGAGGAGGGCGCTGGCTTCCACAGTACGGGTGCCACCTGCTTTGTTAATTTCCAGGAAGGTTTCTAAATTAGAAGAGGAGGGGGGAAAAAAAAAAAACACTTAAAGGTATAAGACAACTAAACTCTTCCTTCCTTCTGCTTGAGATCAGACTTGACTTTGCAACTGGACTCGAGGGCTAGGAGACCTGAATGAAGAAACTCCATGACTGGCATCCTGTGTAGACGTTGTAACGCGTCTCCACGCAGCTCTCTAGTCTCTCCAGATCCACAGTCTAAGGGCGTGACACGTTCTGCCTTTACATTCGTACCCTGGCACACCTTACATGACCTCAGACTTAATATACATCTAATTGTTCAACAAAAGTTTTGAAGGATTTCTAAACATCCTGGTGCGGCGCTGTACAATCAGCACTGGACTGCTAACCATAACATCCATGGTTCAAACCTACCAGTCACTCCTTGGAAATCCTACACAGGGTCACTATGAGTCGGAACCAACCTGACGGCACTAAACACCACCACCACCAACTCAGGTCAATTAAAGTTCAAAGAAAAGGCATCATTATATAGAAACTTCTGTCAGGTTTCCAGTTGGGCACCAAGTTGACTGCTTCAAAGACATACTCCCAGTGGGGATGGAACACTTACACACAGCCCAGATGGTTGTATACTAATCACATATGAAAGAGACACCTCCAGTACACAGGTAAGAAACTCAAGAACTCAGAAATACAGGTGAACGGAAAAGCCAAACCTAAAGCAAGCCCAGGGTCCCTTTTCACAGAAGAGTTCTGTAGCCTGTCTGCACTGGAGAGTTTCAAGGTGTAAAGACTGTGCACACAGACCTGTTTCAATGCATACGTATCAGCCAGCCTCAGGTGGGGGCTCACCACTTGTCTATCAGTGTGTCCCACTACGGGGGCTTTTGTGTTGCTGGGATCTGGAAGCTATAGCACTGGTATAGCACCGGCAGGGTCACGGGTCTGCTATGCTTCCAAACTAAGACACTCAGGAGAGAGAGAAGCAGAGTACTTCTGACTGGTTAGCCGCTGACCACCTTACGGACAGCAGTGAGACACAGTAAATACTGAACTATGCTGAAGAGCACCGGAGGATTGTCAGCTACAGCCTTGGTAACCCTGTACAGGGTCGCTATGGGTCG